ATTCCCTCCTTCCAATCTCCTCATTCTAGATCGAAATCTAGAGAGTAGTGGTTGATGCTGAGGAAATCGTAGCAGCTCCATGGCGTAATCTCCTCAAAACCATGGCGGAATGCGCGTATCGTCATGGCGGAATGCCCTGAGCGCACGCCGAATTTCCGAAACCGTAGACTTGACTACACGCGATTGTCAATGCTGCTGACTTTTTCGCACACCTCCTGTGCGACGACGCGAAACCGCAGTGGATGCGCGTCTCCGACGACTGCAGTTGCGGATGACGCGAATCGGTAGCAGATAACACAGGGTGTGCGGCTGGCGCGGAACTGCATTGGTGGGCGCACACTTCGCGCGACAGTTTCTCCCCATGCTTTGGCAATCATGCCAAGTTTGCTCAAACTTCACCTATGTTGTCATGTGATGCTCCCCATACACTCCAGCCGGCACACGGTAGCAGTCGGAGTTGCCGAACTCCATCAGCTAAAGAGTTGTGCATGCCGACGCACTCCAAGTATCCCAAACTCTGCACTCCACGTATGCAGAAATGTCCACTCCAAGTATGCAGTGTTGTGCACTCCAAGAATGTAGCGCACTCCAAGTATGCAGAGTTGTGCACACCAGGTACGCAGTGCTCCCATGTATATTATCCACTCTTCCCTCAGGTGGTACCGTTCATCTGCTGCAACCAATACCACAATACCACTGAAGCACGACGTATGACGACCGGTTGCATTCATTCTTCCTGCTCCCCCTGCCTATTTGGCAACCCTTGGTGAGTAGGTCTTCCCCTTATGCTTCTTGACTCCATGTCCCACACTTATGCCACCAGACATACTCCACACCCCACCTCCCGCCACCCATGTGCTTGTAGTGATCCGCGTACACAGCTACAAGCACATGAGTGAGTGTGGAGTTAGGTGATGCCATGTTGTGCCGCACCGTTCGAGGTGGCCGCACAGATGAGTACAACACCAGAATCCTTGACTTGATGATTGCCTTGTCCAACCAGCAAATTGCAGGTGAGATGCTGCTTGCTTGGCTTGTCCACCTCATTTCCCACATCATCATTTTCCACTCCTTCCGAAATGGAAACACCAGTCACAGGTACGCCATCAGCTGTACCTCCGCTTCCTTCAAGTGCACTGACTTCATCAGCTACATCAGCTCCAGGTAAGTCTTGTTTTGCATATTCTGCTCCTTCGCCTTCATGTCCTTCAATGGTCGAGAATGCAGGAACCGAATCCACTACGGACCTGTGTCCTCCTCCCCCTGAAGTCCACACCACACAGTGGGGTGAGACTTCATCCGTATCAACATCATGTGCCGGATTCCGCACGATGCAGGCTTTGTGCGCCAGGCGGTATGTGACAGAGGCATGTGCAGACTTGCCACTCGACTGCATCCCAGGTGTGCGGAAATCCGTGCTCTCATGTGTGTCAATGTGCACACCAGGTGTGCGGAAAAGGGTAACCCCCTCACGATCAACCTGATGCGATGACGCGTCATAACGGGAATGTCCAGGATCATGGGCGGATGTAAGTGCATGCGCATATTGCACCACGAGCACTCCATCCACGTTCTTAGCAAATCCAATCCGCACGTACTCCTCTCCAACTTTCATGGTGACCTCCGTGTCTCCATTAGCAATTGTATTGATGTGCGCTCCCTTTTTCAGCAGCTGACAATAGGAGAGCAGGTTACTCTTCAAGCCAGGTACGTAGAGGACGTCAGTGTACCGAACTGTTGTCCCATCAGGTGCCGTTGCTCTGATCGTTCCTGTCATCTTGCTGCTCAGCTCGCTCCCATTAGCAAGCTCCACATAAACAGGTTCGTCCAGCTCCCTTAACTCTTCAAACCAGCTCTTGTCCGAAGTCATGTGCTGGCTGCATCCACTATCCAGCATCCAAGATGACGCTTTAGCTGGCGGTAAGGTAGCTTGTGACGATCCCATCATTGCAATGCACGTAACAGTACGTTGTTTGTCTTCCCCGGCTGCCCCTTGCTGTTTTGATGCATTGTTGTCACGTTTGGGGCTGCAACTCCTTCGTGGGGAGGACGAACGGCTGTCGCTGGTGTGCAGTTTTGCCTTTCCGCGGGTATGCGGTTCCCACCCTGGTGGTATCCACCCAGGGGGTGCCTTGGTACACTTGAAGAAGGGGTGGCCAGGCTCCTTGCAGTACCAACACACGAGAGATGAGCGACTTGCATCTCCATCCTTGCCATGCGTTTTCTCCCCAATTGACCCCTCCTTCCCGTTATTGCCCTTTGCAGTTGGAGAAGGTGAGCAGTCTCCACGTGCTTGTCCAACCATGCGAGGTGGACGCCGGTCACGGTTATCCTTTGATATGAGATCGTGATATCTCTGCTCCCGAATCATCATCCGCTGCAAAGTGAAGCTGTCCGTCACGTTGTGCAGCATTGCCGAGTGCCTCATCTCCTCCCAATGTGCCGGTAGTCCGGTGAGCAGATTTAAGGTGAATGTGTCCTCATCCACCATCTTTCCCGCCAACGCCAACTTGTCTCGAATCGCCGTTGCGCGGTTCACATACTCCTCCACCCTCTCTTGATTCCCCATTTTCAGGTTGTCCAACTGCTTCATGAGAGAGACCTTCGCCACCGAATCTTTGGCCTGGTAAGTGTCCATCAAATACTCCCATGCTTCATAAGCCGGGCTGTAGGATTCCTGGAACATGTCTAGCTGTAGTTGAATCGTTGCGCTCACGCTGTGCAATAGGACCCAAAAGGCGAGTGCCGCACGCTGGGAGTAATCCGCCTGTAGCATTTCCAGCCGCCCCATAGCGTCGTCAATGTCACCATCTCCCATGGTAACCGGATACTGCAGGGTCACAAAGAACTCCCACAGATTCGTGACGCGGGCGTTCATACGAAACCGTAGTGCCCATTCGCGGAAATTTGAGCCGTCAAACGGAGTGGTGGTGAATGCCTTGTCCACCGTTGCTCCCACCATTTTGCGTGACAGTCGTTCCTTGTCTTCGTCCGTATATTCACGTGGTGCGGGGTCGAAGAGAGTAGGCATGGTTGACGGTCGAGGTAGCTGTACCGTGCGCCGCATATCTCCATTCTGTCCACCAAGTTGACGTTCCAGCACTTCCACTTGATCCCGTCGCATGACACCATTTGACTGCATTCCGTATCCCATCCGCCCCATGCTGTCCACAGAGTGTGCGCTGATTGGTGGACGATGTGCACGTGGAGGGATGATGTTGTCGCCATGAAGGTGAGACCTGGGCATGGGAAGAACTCCAATGGGATGGGAGTTGGTCGCAAGTCGTCGCAGTGGGGGAGCACCAATAGTGTAGGAGGCGAATCCCACACCTTCCACGCCCACTTCACCACTTCTGTCACCCTGATGCCCAATCTGTCCACTTCTCATCCCACCAAACACTGCACTCCGATACTCATCATTCCTCCTCCGTGCTTCCCTTTGCATGGATGATTGAGGTGCGGAATTGGCGATCTCCTCTCCTTGGACGGATGCATCCCTCCATTGGGATGACTCTCCTCCTTGAGGTATGCCTATTTCCCCTTCACCATCAATTCCTGCATGAACATTTGCACGAGTTTGGTTAGTACGTGGAGTGCTTGAATGAGATTGTTCATGGGTGGACGGATTGCTGAACTCATGAGAGATTTTTGCTCTTGGCTGGATTGTCATTCCGAACTTGTCCCTTAACGAAGCTTGGAGAGTTGGTGGTGCCCTTGCAATCATGCTTTCCAGGTGCTCATGCTGAGCCATGATGGCTTCTTCAAAAGCCGCATATCCAGGATCCACTTCGCCATCGAAGTGCGCCATGACCTTGACAAAACCGTCCACCAAGTGTGCGGTAAACGCGCAGTTGTAACCAACAGCGAACACCAGGTGTACGAAAGCGTAGACCAGGTGTGCGGTACTCCGACTGTATGCAGGTACCTATCCAAACTGTATGCCAGTAAATTCCTGAACCAGTTTTGGCAGCATGCCCCCTAGAGTAGCTCTGATACCATGCTAGAAAGGCATAGTGCCAGCGTAGCGGAAACGTGTTTGTAGAAAAGAACAAGATAGAAATCTTGCATTGATCATTGAAAAGTAGAATGATGACACAATGTGTACTCAATGATTTGACACAGCAGGGTATATATGCATCCAGCTACCCCTCCAGAATGACCCATTCACACCAATAATGGTGTACCAATAATTGTACCCTCTACCCTCCAATAATGCTGACCTCCAATAATTCTGGCCCCTACAATAATTGTAGGACCTGGAAGCTTATAAAGAGGACTACACTAAAACCAAACAGCACACTGGTATACAGTATTCGTTATACTGTATTCGGATTTCCAACAGAATCGAGGTAGCGAGAATTGCACTAAAGGTGTCAAACGAGTACAAAATGTGAGCGAAGGCATGAGCGAACATTTATACGCGAAACATGCAAAACGGTAACGCGGTGCGTGCGAGCTTGCTAGTGCTACGCTGGAACGGGCGAACAATCGGCTGTTGCTGTACGCGATGTAGTCGGCTCCGTAAGGAATGCCGAGAAAATTCCTTACAGTTGGGAAGAGTAAACTGAAAGGTTCTGTTTTTGTCACTTTCTCAAGAGTGTGATTTGCGTGATAAGTGTTATTGAAGAGCAACAACCAGTCCGCGACTCGGCGTCCTTTTCGGCAATTGTACGAAACTAGGAATCTAGTTTGCAGGGGGTGCTTTTCGGGAATCGTACGAAAGCATATGTCTACTTTCCAGGCGTCCTTTTCAGCACTTGTACGGTTGTCGTGCTTTGCACGACAACATCCGAGGCGACTGCCAAGTTGTCTACTGCAAATTCAGTCAAGGCTTGAATCTCTCATCCGAGGCAAACTTCCGTCCGTACGTCACAGGAGCAGGTGCCATGCGCCGCGCCGCGCTTCGCCATGGCCTCACGAAGGCCCTGTTCGGCAGCAAGCATGTGGCTTATATCAGCGCCACCCATGCCCCTCACCATGATCGCCGCCTGGGAAGCACGATGGCCTGTGCAAGAACGGATAGCGCCGCGCGGTCGCGGGTCCTCACACCAGTCCTTCCGTGTTTCGCGGCGCTCCTCGTTGCTCTCCTGCCGCGTGTTGTCCAGGCTGTGACGGTGACTCTCGCCGACTCTCAAGGTGCGCTACGCGAGAAGATTTTTTAGGGTTTGAACCACAGCAAGTGTGCTAATTTCTGCAGTTATGGCCTTGTGATGCACCTCCTTTACCTCCTGCATGATCATGACTCACCTCCTGTCTCTTCATGAGACGGGAACTCCGTCCTATCATACCCTAACGTGCCTTTTCTCCTCTCCTCCTCCCTCTCCCCCAAACTCTCCCGCTCCTTCTCCTTCTCCCCCTCCCTCCCCCAATCCCTCTCCCTCTCCATCTCCCTCTCCCCCTCCCTCTCCCTCTCCTCTCCCTCCCCATCCCCCTCCGCCTCTCCCTCCCCCTCCGCCTCTCCCTCCCCCTCCCCCTCTCCCTCCCCCTCTCCCTCTCCCTCTCCTTCTCCCTCTCCTTCTCCCTCTCCTCTCCCTCCCCCTCCCCCTCCCCCTCTCCCTCTCCCTCTCCCTCTCCCTCTCCCCTCAAATCTCGTATTCCTGTCCGCCTCGATCTCTCCCACAATGGGCGCGCAGCGGCGGCGCTGAAGGAGTGCGCGGCGGAGTGGGGGATGGGCGCGACGGAGTGGGCGCAAGGCGCGGATTGCGCGCACGCGGAGACGATCACGTGCGACAAGGACGGCATGGTCACAGAGTTGTCAGTGCCCCGGGGGGACGGCAGCGCGTGGGGGGAAGCGTGGGGGGAGTGCGGGGGAAGCTGCGCATGGGGGAAGGGGATGAGGGCGTGGAGTGGCAAAGCCGCGGGCACATGCGCCATTGAGTTCCACCCAGTACTGCCGCCCAGTGTTGCCGACCAGTGCTACTGTTGCTGGCGCTCCACATGCATGCCGTGTCACCATGGGCCATGACACTCTCACCTCACATGCTTCATTGACTCACCTCACATGCTTCATTGACTCACCTCACATGCTTCATTGACTCACCTCACATGCTTCATTGACTCACCTCACATGCTTCATTGACTCACCTCACATGCTTCATTGACTCACCTCACATGCTTCATTGACTCACCTCACATGCTTCATTGACTCACCTCACATGCTTCATTGACTCACCTCACCACACCACACTCCTCCATTGCTCCACCTGCATCATCGCCTCCTCGCTGCCTGTCCGCCGCTCCTCCCAAACCTCCCCATCATTCCTCTGCGTGTTGCGCAGGCTGCTGAATTCAAAGAGCCTCACGGGCTCCATCCCCCTCGCCCTCACCGCGCTCTCCCGCCTGCAATCGCTGTGAGTCGCACATAAGAGTCGCACATAAGAGTCGCACATAAGAGTCGCACATAAGAGTCGCACATAAGAGTCGCACATAAGAGTCGCACATAAGAGTCGCACATAAGAGTCGCCAGGGGCCAGCCCGGGGCTTGTGAGTGGCCTTGCCCTGCCCCCACATGCCCTCTAGCTCGCTCTCTCTCCCCACGTCACCCATCACATCACCCACCACGCCACCATTCCTCCTACCCTCTTGCGCTTCCCTTCCCCTTCCACCCATCCCGCCCCGCCCACTCTCCCCCCGGTGGTGCCAGGAATTTGCAGACCAACAATCTGTCCGGCCCTGTGCCCCCCGCGCTCTCCGCCCTCCGCCTGCTCACCTCCCTGTGAGGCGCACTGAGAGGGGCAGTGAGAGGGGCAGTGAGAGGGGCAGTGAGAGGGGCAGTGCGAAGGGCAGTGAGAGAGGAGAGGTAGCGAGAGAGGTAGCGAGAGAGGTAGCGAGAGGGGTAGCGAGAGGGGTAGTGAGAGGGGCAGTGAGAGGGGCACATTGATTCTTGTGTTTCTGCTGTGTTTGTGTTCGTGTGTACGTCTGTCAACGTGCATCTCCTCATCTGTGCATCTCCTGATCTTTGCATCTCCTCATCTTTGCATCTCCTCAGCTTTGCAAGTGTGTGTGTGTGCGCGCGCGTGAGCGCGTGCGCGTCTGTGTGCATGTCTGCATGTGCATTCGTGCATGTGTGCATGTCTGCATGTGCATTTGTGCATGTGTGCATGTGTGCATGTCTGCATGTGCATTTGTGCATGTGTGCATGTGTGCATGTGCATTTGTGCATGTGTGCATGTCTGCATGTGCATTTGTGCATGTGTGCATGTCTGCATGTGCATTCGTGCATGTGTGCATGTCTGCATGTGCATTCGTGCATGCAGGAGGCTGGGCAACAACCACCTCACGGGACCAATCTTCACCGTCATTGCGCGCATGCCATGGCTCGTCGAACTGTACTCGCCCACAGGATTCGTGATCTCCCTACCCCTTCACCGTGATCTCCCTACCCCTTCACCGTGATCTCCCTACCCCTTCACCGTGATCTCCCTACCCCTTCACCGTGATCTCCCTACCCCTTCACCGTGATCTCCCTACCCCTTCACCGTGATCTCCCTACCCCTTCACCGTGATCTCCCTACCCCTTCACCCATTGCACTGTCACTGCGTGTCACGGGCCCGCTTCCAGCCGTGGGGCTCCCTTCATACATTGCACTGCCTGCAGCATTCTCTTCTCCTCCTCCTCCTCCTCCTCCTCCTCCTCCTCCTCCTCCTCCTCCTCCTCCTCCTCCTGTTTCGTCCCCACCAATCTGTCCCGCCTTCCTCCCTCCACTTTACCCTCTTCACCTTCCTCTCACCACCTACCTCTCTTCCACGTTGCTCCACAAACGCTCCGTCTTTTCTCCCCGCCACCTCCACTCACCCCATCCCCCCCCTCAGCGATCTCTATAGTAACAGCTTCACGGGGCCGGTTCCACTCACAGTCTCACGCCTGCAGAAGCTCTCGTCTCTGTCAGCCCCTCGCCCTCGCCCCACTCCCTTCCTGCACCCCCCTTCCCTCGCACACTGCTTCTCCGTCTCTCTTGTTCTTCCCGGCCTTCCGCTGCCCTCCTGCCCTCTCCTAAACAGCCCATCTTTCTTTCAGGAGACCTGCCCTTCCCACCGCCCTTTGTGTGCTGCCTGTGTGCGCAGTGAGTTGGAGTCCAACGACTTTCACGGGCCCTTCCCACCACCCTTCACCCGCCTCACCGCCCTCGCCTACCTGTATGCCTCTCCTCTCACACCCTCTCGTCTCCCCACCCTCTCCTCTCTCCACCCTCTCCTCTCTCCACCCTCTCCTCTCACACCCTCTCCTCTCCCCACCCTCTCCTCTCTCCACCCTCTCCTCTCACACCCTCTCCTCTCCCCACCCTCTCCTCTCTCTACCGTCTCCTCCTATTTCGGTGCAGACCTCATCACCCAACATGCCATGCCATGCCATGCCATGCCATGTCATGCCGTGCCATGCTATGCTGTGCCATGCCGTGCCATGCCATGCCATGCCGTGCCATGCCATGCCATGCCATGCCATGCCATGCCATGCCATGCCATGCCGTGCCATGCCGTGCCATGCCGTGCCATGCCATGCCATACCGTTCCAAGCCATTGCATACCATCCCAACCCATCCCAACCAACCCATCCCATCCCATTCCATCCCACCCCACGTTACACAGTCCCCTCCCTCCCCGCCCCTGCTTCGCCCCCACCCCACAGGGGCATCGCAGGGACGGGCCTCTCTGGTTCGCTGCTCGATCACATCACCGCTCTCTCTTCCCTTGAATCCCTGTAATGCACGCCTCTCTTCCCTTGAATCCCTGTAATGCGCCAGTTGACTGCAAGTCGCAATCACAATCCATTCTGACCGCACTGGCCTCCTCACTCTCCCTCTCATTGCATGTCCCCCTCTCATTGCCCCCTCACATCGCATGTGTATGTACGTGCTTGCGGGCGGCACTGGCACCATCACCACCACCATCACCATCACCACCACCACCACCACCACCACCACCACCACCACCACCACCACCACCACCACCACCACCACCACCACCACCACCACCACCACCACCACCACCACCACCACCACCACCACCACCACCACCACCACCACCACCACCACCACCACCACCACCACCACCATCACCACCACCACCACCATCACCATCACCATCACCATCACCATCACCATCACCATCACCATCACCATCACCATCACCATCACCATCACCATCACCATCACCATCACCATCACCATCACCATCACCATCACCATCACCATCACCATCACCATCACCATCACCATCACCATCACCATCACCATCACCATCACCACCACCACCACCACCACCACCATCACCATCATCAGCTACGCGTCCAGCAACGCCATCTCAGGAAGCATCCCCGCCACCATCTCTGCCCTCTCTCGCCTCGCACACCTGTCAGTTGCACACACAGCCTTCCCTCTTCCTTTCTTTTTTGGCTCCTCTTCTTCCTCTGCTGCGCAATGCGAATCCAAGAGCACGGAAGGAAAAAAAAAAAAAAAAAAAAACAAGGCTCGACGATGAACGTCGTAAGGGTTGCGTAGACTCTGATATCATACTCAAAATAAATGCAACACCGCTATATATATCCGTAACCTTTTTCCACCCTCTACAGCCGTTTTTGTTTTTTATGTATTGCATTCTATCTCACACCTAATGCCCAATTATGTGGAATTTCGACTGAAGAATATACGCAAGTACTATGTGGTTACTTTTGGTGTATATGAGTGAGTTACGACTCTACTGTTATGGGGTATTATGGGGAACGTGCATTTCGCTTTTCGCTTTCGTCAAGTTTTCTGGAGCTGACGCAAACTGCACATGAAATCTAGTGTATCAGCTGAGTCAGCTGAATCTCACGTGCTCACATATGTGAAACCACGTCGATAACCCAACCCAACCCAAGAACCAAGAAACCAGTTCTTTCCACTCACGCTAGTATCACGCTAGTACCTCATGCTACCGCTAGTACCTCATGGAGTACCCCACACTAGTGCCTCACGCTGGTATGAACCTCAGCTCCTTATCCTGTAGCAAGCGCCCGTGACCATGAAACCTCTCGTGGAAAACGCGCCTGACAAGCGCCCGTGACAAACGGCATGTTTCGTGAGTACAAGAGTGATATTCGCCTTGCTGCAGCGCGCTGCCAGCCCCTTGCTGCGGCAGCGCGCCGACGCCTAGCAGCGCGCTGGCGCCAAACGCGCTGGCGCCAAACGCGCTGGCGCCTAACGCGCTGGCGCCAAAGGCGTTGGCGCCATACGCGCTGGCGCCAATTACACTGGCGCCTAACGCGCTGGCGCCTTACGCGCTGGCGCCTTACGCGATGGCGCCTTACGCGCTGACGCCAAACGCACTGGCGCCAAACGCGCTGGCGCCAAACGCGCTGGCGCCAAACGCGCTGGCGCCATACGCGCTGGCGCCATACGCGCTGGCCCCAAACGCGCTGGCGCCATACGCGCTGGCGCCTTACGCGATGGCGCCTTACGCGCTGGTGCCGAACGCGCTGGCGCCAAACGCGCTACCGCCAAACGCGCTGGCGCCATAGGCGCTGGCGCCATACGCGCTGGCGGCTTGTGCGCTTCTGCCTTGTTGCAGCAGAGCGCTGACTAATTATTGCGCACGCTCAAGCGTTGCTGCAGTGAGCTCACGCCTTGCTGCAGTGAGCTCACGCCTTGCTGCAGTGAGCTCACGCCTTGCTGCAGTGAGCTCACGCGTTGCTGCAGTTAGCTCACGCCTTGCTGCAGTGAGCTCACGCCTTGCTGCAGTGAGCTCACGCCTTGCTGCAGTGAGCTCACGCCTTGCTGCAGTGAGCTCACGCCTTGCTGCAGTGAGCTCACGCCTTGCTGCAGTGAGCTCATGCCTTGCTGCAGTGAGCTCATGCCTTGCTGCAGTGAGCTCACGCCTTGCTGCAGTGAGCTCATGCCTTGCTGCAGTGAGCTCATGCCTTGCTGCAGTGAGCTCATGCCTTGCTGCAGTGAGCTCATGCCTTGCTGCAGTGAGCTCATGCCTTGTTACGGCAGCCCGCTTGCTCCTCTGCCAGTGCCTTGCTGCAACTCTCTGGCACCTTGTAGCATGGCGATGCCCAGCTCGTTGCACCAAGGCACCTTGCTCGCTGGAGCCTTGCTGCACACCAGCGTGGTGTGCGTGACCCCATGGGATCTTTGCTTCAAACCACGCTTGTGAGTCGTCGAATTCGGTTATCTTTTGCACTTATCATATTTCTTTCAAGTTCCATTTCACAATCAAGTGCGTGTTCGTCATTGAATAGTTCACTCCGTTTTCCGACTACAATTCATTTTCTGCTTGACCTGTTTGTTTTGCAAGGTGTGCGAGACGCGTTGTGGGGAGCAGGGAGGGATCGAGAGAGATTACAATGTGGAAAAGGGTGGGAGGAGATTTCGATGGTAGAGGGAGAGGAAGGAAGGTAGAAAGGGGGAGTAAGGGGGGGGGACAAGGTAGCAGTGATTGATACATAATTAACTTATTGCAACTCTTTGTTATGCTTGTCTGCTCCCAAACCTATTTGTGTATGTATGTGTGTGCGGTGCGGGTGTGTTTGTGCGTGTGTGTGTTTATGTGTTGTCATTGTGTTTGTTTCACTGTGGGGTTTTACGTGCGTTTGCATTCGTGTTTGTGGGATGTGTGTTTCAAAGTGTGGTGTTAGTATGCGTTATGTATGCAATTAGAGGCTGTTAATCGTCTTTGGGGCAGCGTGTTTTCGCTGTTTCAACGACCCCATCAACCTCTGTTGCTGCATGATGC